TTGTTTATTTTGACTTGTTTTTGCTTGTCTATTGTTAATTTTTGTAAGCAATTTTTTTATCATATTGAGTGCTTTATATGGAAGACAATGGTCAAATAAATAAAAATTGGTACTAATACATATATTGTATAATTTTATATTTGTGTTCCATCAGAATAAACATTCCAGACATTCGTGCGAAAGACTACCTTGGAAAATTCGTGGTGGCTCGTAGCTAAGAACTCCTCGTACCGCGTGTCATCCCTCAGAGAAAGGCAAGCAGAAATCCACACACCTACACAATAAAATTTGGGCCAATTTTTATCTGGCGCATGTCCACGCGCATGGTTTAATCTTTCTTAAGAAGGATAAAGCATTTGCCGTTGATCAATCCCTTTTTGGGATGCGGCACGCATTCTACTTCCATTTGTACATTCGTAGTGGCGTTTGAATGCGATGTGGCCTATACAATGACTTGCGGGGGCCAGCCGATGTACAAGTCAGTGTTTTTATCCTTCTGGTACCAATTAACCGACCCCGGAGGGATGGAAGGCTTGGTTGGCCCGGGCGACTCACGACCCAGGATTTGATCCCCGGACCGCTCGCGTGGTAAGCGTGCCACTTGCCACTACACCACTTCCGCCCCTATCGTATATGCATATAAGAATTAAGAAAATGTCAATCAAAGTATTATAGATGATGCGTCACGTGCATCGTGTAGTTGAGGCTGAGTTCTAGCCTCGTCCACAGTTATCATCTCAAAACTTGTACATCGACTGAAGATAGCTGCCTCAAATGCTTCTAGCTCTTACGGAGTGGCTCAAGCATCACACGGAAATTTATCCAAACCATCTCGCTAGATCCAGCATTCTTGTAGCGATACTTGAGTCGTATTATCGGAAGCAAAAAACCATGTAAGATCTCGTGACGGGCTAACTATCGGTGAATACTCCTGACAGAAGTAACAAGGATAGGTGCAACAACCCTAGATCGAACTTGTAGGGTCACAGCTGTTGATAATGCTTGTATGATTGTGGTTGCCCGACTTGACTTGGAAAGAAAAAAAAAGAAACAAGAAATTCCATGAAACCAAAACGAAAATCCCTTGAAAGGAAGGGCAGGCCGGACGGAGTTTGTCTCTGCCTGCTCCACAGCTTGACTAATCCGCACGTATTTGAATTAGCCGCTACATCGTAATCCACGTTGCGTGTCATGTGGAGCACGCTTCCTAATTCCCCCAAATGCTAACAATAAGATTAGTCGCCATATCCTGACTTTGTAAGATGCGAGCTCCATAGTCGCACACTTTGAAACCAACGGCACATCCGTGGACTGGTGAGAGTATTTTACCACTTTGCCGAAATTCTTTCGACACGAGGTGAGAGGTGCTGGGTTTTGCTTTCAATCAACATTTGCAGTTCATCTTTCGAGGGAAAGGTGAAGGATGGGACATGTAAGAAGTGATAGCTTTAGGAGGTAGCCAGGAATTCTGTCGATGTTCGCCGCGACTTGCAGAGGGTCAAACCTACGGGACTGACTCTAGTGTTCCTTGTCTTTGTGTGGTAGGCAGCACGCTTAAATGAGATTTCTGCAGCGGAGAAAGGTGTCCCCCAACAGGCCCACCGCGCGGCGAAGCAAGAGACGCAGACGCGGCAAAGGGACGAGTCGCAGCGCATACTGTAGCGGTTAGGCGTCAGGTTAAAGAGAGTGTACCATACTACGTCTCATATCGCACAGCACGCGCTGCAACTCGTCTCTTTGCCGCATCTGCGACTGTTGCTTCGCCGCGGTTGAGCACTTTTGTTGGGGGACACCCAGCGGAGAATGCATTACGCTGCATATGTTCTTGCTACTGACGATGAGTACCACACGGGCACGGTACTTTTTCAGACATTATGCGAAAATCACGGAATGCCCGAATCCGGCAATAAGGAATTTTGAGTGGAAATGGACACGACTCGCGCAGTAATTTCCTCTGCGTACCCAAAGGCTCCAAAAAGGCAGCTGTCGTCTTTGTGCCTTGCGTACTCCAAACAATTGGTGTAAAGAGGAACGTAAAAGAATGAAATTTGGGAAGTAAATGAGTGCTAACCAGATGTGGGGGAAATGGTAGGGCAGACAAAATGGTTCCCGTTAGAGCTTTTCTGGTGTGGTTCCAGAGAAGGTGACGAGTTTAGCACTTCCTAGACAAACAAGACCTCGTAATTTCTAACTGCACACTCTCAAGTGGAGGAAACGCAAAGTTGGAGGATTGTTGCCCAGATGTTGACCACTGAAATAGTAAGGACTTAAAAATCCGCATCTTACAAGTAGAAATTTCTTCGCCAAATCCACAAGAAGCGCTAGACTTTGAAGCCAGGAAACACGACGATACCTAAAAAAGCTGAGGAACGTCATAAGGGAGTCAAGATCACATCTAAGGCCATAAACAGGCGCAAAATGGTATTATCATAAATAACTTGAACCTGCGACACGTCGGATTAATGCTACGAAGGAGGAAACCGACACAGTCCATCTCTTGTATTCACAGCAGAGAAGAAATTCTGGTTCGACTTCAGTATGTTCTGCAGCTTTCATTCCAAAAAGGAAGCCAAGTATAGTGCTCGGCGCGGAATGGCACGTACAGCTTTATACAAAATGACAGAAGAAATGAATAGAGACTGTTGCATTGCAACTCGGTTACTTCTATATTTCCAAGTTTCAAATAACAAACACAACAGTCATGATAAGGCCACAAATTTATAATCGAGAGGACTCAGCAACACATTATCTTAGAACTAATTTGTTAAAATGAAGGAAATATAATATCTTAAGGCAAAGTTCGGGCTCAGACCTGCCTAATAAGCCCTTAAAGTGGCAAGAAGCGCATGGGACGCAGCTGCAGGCGACTCGCCAAGTTTCCGTATCGAAATGCGTCAATTAAGGCGCTAGGGGCCAAGACTTTGACACGCTCCACCTGTTGCGACACGCTCCGCCCACTCGAATATTTTTCTTCTGCGTTGCATGCTGTTGATATGCCTAGCACGCGCTCGATTATCCTCGGTCTTTTTAATCTCGCACCGTTAGAGCAAAGACTAGTATTTCCTGTGTATTCACAATTTTTTCTTTCTTCTACACTGGTGGTCACTACCACCAATCTTAATTTGAGTAGAATTAACTCATCGTCTAAACTCCGATCTTGCTTAAAGTCGATGGTAATCGAGGTAACATTAGTAAAGTGAAGAGAGAGCGTTGAAAAGGATTAACCTTGATTAGAAACCACTTCAGTCAGGTAACACAACGCAAGAGACATGTACTTTCAAATTTAAGTCATTGCGTTTCACAATCACACAAACCTGTCGCTCCTCGGTCTTAGTACGAAGGACAAAAAGGAATAGTTCGCGCTTTGGAAATTTCGATAGATCGCTGATCTCTCCTAGCCTTGCATGAGCGCGTTACCTTCATCTGTGTCGTCGTCAGAAGCATAATGCTTTTGTAGAACTGATGTGGAGCTCAAACTGCTGTGGCAAAAGGCTAGCATTTCACGTCAAATGAATACGCCGCCTCTGCACACATCGAAACGGTGTTTTTTTTGTTTTGCTAACCGGAAAGGGTTTGGTAGCTTACCGCGTTAATAGGGGCCAAAAAACGCTCTTGTCTCGTTGGGTAGGCCCCTACCCACATCATAGTAACTTTCGTTATTCTCCACAGACAACAAGGATTCTCAACTCTTTTAAAGGAAGTGGGTACGAAAAGGAATTTTCACATCTGCGGAGAACCTGCTCCCCACAGAGCAACTAGCAGGCCGCCAAGGAAGCGATGTGTGGCGCTTGCACTGCGAACAGTGCTGTGGTTGCTGAGCAGGACCATTGCGCCCTTCCGCCCCATGCGCCGCCCCGCCCCATGATTCATCGGTGGCTTGGGCGAGCCGTGTTGCAGCCGCACGCGTTAGGAGCTGCTGTTTGCTGCCCAGCACGCGTTGCGCAATCTCGTCCACGCGTGCGCGGTCTTCGCCGCAGTCCATCTGAGAGCCGCAATAAACGGCCCAAAAGGGGGTCCCATTTCTCGTTTCCTGGACCGATTTCGCTGCTTCTTTCGCCACTGACGTACCATTGAGGACCCCCTCCTCTAAACCCCATTCAAACCTAGCGTAACCGCTGCAGGCAATGGGTATGCTACCTTACGTTAACTTGTTAGCAAATTTCAAAATGGAGGAATCCTGTTTAGGGCAGAGAGCAATTTTACTCACCAATTTTCCGAAAGAATATTTTCATGCTCGTCAACTTTACAAAACGAAATATGCATATCGATATGCCCAAAATGGTTGAAATTCTACAGATTCTGGATCTACCTTCAGTCAAGTTCGAGGAAGTTGAAAGCTTCGAAACGCGTGCAAACCTGCATGAGCGTTATTTGGACAACTTCCCGCGATGGTGCAACTTTTCGAAATTCTTTTGTGTGCAAGTTCTACAATGCAATTCCAACTTCTGCCAGACACAAGTATTTCAGATTTCAAATGCGTCCTTTGTGCAGAAAATTGCCTCCGGAAAAAGCTTTGGAAAGTGCAACACCCTACTCACAATTTCTTGCGCTGCTTTTGGGTAAGGTTATCTCGCGATATACCCACTTGTTTAGTACCTTCCAGAGCGACAGTTCGAAAAACTTCTAAAATCCCTACCGTTATGCTCTCAATAAAGACAGAAACTCACTTTGAAGAGAGCACGGTTTTGTTACTTCTGCTATGAAACATAACGAGCTTCAATTTCCAGCGCGCGCTACAATAGCAAGCACATTCTCTCATGGGTCTTCTTGTACACAAAAGGGGCGACGTGTAGTCACGCACAAGTATGAACGGTTGTATTTTGCATGTTCGGCAGCACTAGTTTGACCCTGACTTGCATTGCCCAAACCCCGATGAATAAGAATGTTACATGAGACAGCACTTCGGAATATCAAACATCCCCATCCGCCTAATTTCCCCCACTGAGCAGCTCTCCCTCGAATAACATCCTTCAAAAAATTCTAATAGGCACTGAGTGAGACTAAAATCTGTTTGCATCGGAAGTTTGACGAAAGATTGCTGAACGGTAGTAGCGCAGTTCTTCAATGCTCTCTCGGATATCGTCCAAGGCTCTATGAGTGCCCCTCTTCGATATTGCTATAGCGTACTCATCAGGAAACCATCTGGAAGCCAGCTGCAAAAGAAACAATTTATTCAAAAACGCTTATACCGTGAGAACTAACCTACCTCCTTGACCGTGGAAACGTCGACAATACGGTAGTGAAGATGCTCGTCAAGGCGAGGCATATATTTGGAAATAAACCTACGCAAAGATCAATGAGAAGAAAAATGCTCAAAAATATCAACTGATCAGCATATTCACCTTCTATCAAAGTGAACGCTATTTCCCGCCAGAGGACACTTTCCCTTTACTGTCACCTTCTCGAGAAATTTCAGTACCTGAAAAAACAAAGATGAAAAAAAGCACATTTCACGCAAAACCAATGGATCAATTCAAGTTATGATTTTCATACAGCAAGTTGACTACCAGAAAATGAGAACTGTGCCATGGATCGAACTTCAGCAAATGCCTTTCGGTTTCACTAGATGATTCTAGGATCAAAACCTTGGATGAACTGATCATAGGTGTCAAAAAGCTTTTTGCTGTCATTTTACAGCCACGCTTTGGGATAGGCTCGGATCAGTGCTTCCGATACCGCGATCCGTAATCAGACAGGAGGAACAGCTTTGCCGTTTCGTGCCCTTTGGAGGCTTGAAAGTGCTCGGCAAGGCGCTGGAGCCCCCGCGTCCACTTCTGGCGTCCGAAAGGCCTTCACTTTTCCGTCGGTCACGTGAAGCTGCTGAACAGCGCGGGCGCGCGCACTTACGCAGCGGCTACTGCGGCTCCACTGCCCATCCTGGACGCGCCCTCGGAACATACTCGACCCTGTTAGCCACTCAGCTTCTGTAAAACTCCCCGATCCAACACCCCCCCCCCCTTTTCTCTCTGTCCGAACGATGCGCAGATGTAGCTGACAATTCCACCAACTCGCTACGCCCGCCTCTACTTTGGCCGCGCGTAGTAGCTCGCGTGGTTTGCTTGCCTTTCTCTTCTCGTTCCAGCCACGTCCCCCCTAGAATTTTCATATGCGAACGTCTTTCCAGCTAATCATCCCGAGGCTTGTCTTTAACCCTTAAGAGGATCAAATATCAGGTCGCAACGAAGGTCCTTGAGGGATTTTTCAAAAGTTGGCAAATGGCTGCACATCAACCTGTGCGGAAAATTTTAATGCCATACATAGGAATAATGATGTTCCTGAGTATTAATATTTCCAGGCAAAGTGAATAACGGTCAAGGAAATCCTCGACAGGGGGTGGTATTCAGGGTCAAGCGAACCGGCCGGGTCATGGGGGTCGTACTCGTGGGGTCAGTAACATCAGTGGCATCGTGGTGCAGAGGAGTAAGAGGGTGTAGCGCAGCAGAATATGAAAAAAACATGATATAAAATATTCTTTGCAGGTTCAGTCGCTCCATTCCTCTACCTTCATGAGAAGGGCGTATTTGAAAGCAGTACAAAGAATGAAAGTGCATCCCCGCAAGGAAGACTGCCACATGTGCACACGCGCTGCAAAGGCACCTCCTCTACCTACCCGCTCGCTCCCCTAATATTGAGAATGACACTGTTGTTAGGGACGCTGTCGCAGAGACGGCAGAAAAAATTCAATTTTTTCTTTTCATTCGAAGTCTTTGCTCATCCAAACATACACCTCTGTCATCTATAATGTATTGCCTATTCATGGGAATTTATTGTCTTTCCTCTGAAACTGCGGGAGGTCTTGAACGAAGAAGGACTGGAAGTCGGGTTTGAGGTCGTATCACTTAGCGTAAAATTTCTTCTTGGAGAAGAGTGCTAGAGCTCAGACAAGGTTGTCCTTAGCTGGTACGAGGATAGTGCTACACAACGAAGCTGAAAGAACTGTTAGCCTGAGAGTCGCCAACTTTTTGAATAATCTACCCAAGGTGGGTCGAACGACCTCAGAAAAAAGCCGACTTTGTCTTGCTTTGCTTTCAAATTGAACGCGTTGCCACTGTGCTGTCCACGTTTGCCTTCTTCACTGACCCTAGTATTACTGGGCGGCGGTTCCCAGCGCAAGGTTCCTTTCGTGTTTCACCAACATTTCAGAAGTGTCGAACTTAGAGGAAGTTGGGCTTTTGCTGTCAGAACTCCCGAATCGCTTGAGCTAGGCTACTGCTCCTGGTGGATTTGCTAGCACACTCCACCCAGTCTACAACACTGGTGAATATGCAGGATGATCACTGAAAGGAACTCTAGGAAATCAAAAGGAACATGATGATGTCAGATCGTGTTCGAGGGTGATTCGGGCACAGAGCATGTGAGATACAAATTCCATATTTTAAATTCTTTAC